TTGACAAATAAGAATTTAAATCCGGATTTTCATCTTTTAAACCAATATATTCGTAGCTAGTATTATTCGCCGCACAGCTTTAACATCTTTAAACAACGATTGTCTAGCTCTAGCTTCTCACTATTTCACGCTAATATTAGAAGCATGAAACGCAACTTTGAAAATTTTGAAACTCATCTTCGTAATGAACTTGATTATCCCTTTACTGTTATTGGAATTACAGAGACTAAAATTACAAATTATAATCTTGCATTAATACCGAAACCATCCCTATAGCTGGATAATCTTTTGAAATTGTTCCAACACCTTTGGCTTCGGGAGGTGTTGCTATGTTTATTAACGGCTCTTTAAAATATTCTATTATTCAACTATTGACTTAAAAATTCAAAATTCAACTATTGACTTAAAAATAATTGATAACAATACTAACACTATCACTTCCATGGAAAATAAGGAATACGTGAAGTACTTGGGAGTCCTTATTGATAGTACTCTAAGTTGGAAACATAATATTAATTACATAGTTTGCAAAATAAGTAAAACTGTAGGTGTAATCGCCAACATCAGACGTTTTGTCCCGTCTGACAAACTCCTCAAAATCTATTATTCTCTGATTTTTCCCTATATACACTATAGCATAGTGACTTGGGGTCAAGCTGCTGAAACTCAAATGAGCAAAATTCTTCTTTTACAAAAGCGTGTTCTTCGATTTATTAATGGTATGAAATACAGAGCTCATACTATACCACTATTTATTCCTGCAAATATTTTACCGGTTATCATGATGTACCTTAAAAGTGTGGCTGCCCAAATGCATGATTTATCATCTGGCATTACAGCATTACGGCATTACACCCTCTTAAATATCAAATCTCTTTACTCAATCTCATAAAATTCACACATACAATACGAGATTTTCTAATGCTGGCAATTATTATGTCAACAAATCAAGGCTTAACTAACAACTGTCTTCATTTTCAAGACTTGGTCCAATGGTATGGAATAATCTCCCATGTAGCTTGCGCTCATTTCCTAAAAGGTCTTTTAGCAAAAAAGTCCATACACTTTTGTTAAAATTACTCAACAATAAAGACAATAAGTCCAGCAGTCATTTGCTAAAATTACTACTGAACTTATGGAACTAAAATAGCACCTTCTATATCAATAACCTACTGTAAACTATTCATACTTTAATTTACATTATTTGCTTCCTTGTTAAGCATTATTATATACTTGTTTAAACCAATTTCACTTCTCTAAATTAACAATATTGTAATCTTGTAATTTTTATTTCCAACCTGCTTGACATATTCTAATATTTTCTGCAACCACCCGACTCGATTAGTTTTGCTACATTCGGGTGGGTATTTCTTTCACTTTTGTATTTATTTATTTCTTTCTTTCTTAAATAATAACATTTGTAGTTTTAAAGTGGAATAAAGGTTTTCTTCAACTGAATTAAAATATTCTACGTAGAACATGAGTGGCATGCACAACCTTTAAACGCTAATTTTTGATGCATTTCCGAGACTTGACATATTTAGCAGAGTTTGGTAAATTATTCCAGTAATATAATATGAAAATGAATCATTCGATACTTGATGCTCTGACTATAACATTATGCCCAAGGCTATGCCAGCATAATTTATCTGACTTATGCAGTTGTTACCTTTAAAATGCGCACGTTACAACAGCGATCGCAGCTCTCCGAAATTTTCACTGAAATCCTCGTAGTGCCTTTATGGAGTTCGTCGACCATCTGCAATAAATGAAGAAGAAGCAATAAAAAAACCATTTTATAGCAATAAAGATGACATTTAATGTATGAGGGTGCTTCAAAGAAATGAAAGAGCATAATATATTTTCCACAGCAACAATCGAAACAAGGCAAAGTTTGCTAAGAAAAACAAAATGAAACAGTCGAATAAAGGAACTGGAAAAAATGAGCTTTCGACTCATTCCAAGGGGGCTTGACAGCCGAACGAAAAATAATGATAAGTACAGGAGCAAACAAGGAAACAGTTAAGTCGAAGAAATAGCAACGCTAACAACAGCAATAAAAAACATATGCTTTATTTAACAGCTCACTGTAAAAAATAAATAAATAAATAAATAAA